ATGTAATGGAAGTTTTTGTTTTGTTTTCTCAGCTGTCGCTCCAATAAAGCAAATACATCACCAAAGGCAGCAAGGTAAAACATGATTAAATTTCTGAAAAGGGTAAGTTAACTACGAGGCATATGTGCAACAAACATACACGTTTTCTATTTGTGTTAATCTCTGATCTCTGAACGTCAAATCATGTGACCGAACAGACCCTACTTCGTGCTCGATGAAAGCTGTGGTCATCTGCACGTGAACTCTTGTATGTATGTGTGGGTGGACAAGGCACACGTAGCAGTGAAAGGGCAGATGCTGTGGTTCATTTCCTCCCCCAACATGTTATATGACCGTTGGACTCTGACTATAGACCGCAATCCGTTCAGTTCAGAAAATTGTAGTAAACAAATGCTTTACCATAAAATCGTGACAAAATGGACAAAACAACAACAAAAACTCTTTATGCACATTCACTGCTTATTATTCTTACAGTTGATGAGAACTACGTAAAAAAAAACAAATAAATTAAAGAAATCAAGCTAAAATGAGATAATAATTGTAACGAATTGCATTTTGTATATTATACTTAGAATTAACGTTCTTTGTTTGAAATAAGACACGTGGTTTATTTGTACGAAACTTACAATGTGTTTTTTTTTTTCACAAATACACGCTGTTAATGCCCTTTGTTTTTACACTTAACCCATCAAACACACTTAATTATATCTTTCTCGTTACTAACATAATGCGACTTTTGACCATTTTAAAGCATCTTTCACTAAGGCTAGTCCCCCGTTGGAACAGCAGTAAGTCTACAGACTTATAACGCTAACATCCAGGGTTCGATTCCTCACGGTGGACACAGCAGATAGCCCATTGTGGCTTTACTCTAAAAAAAAACTAATCGAACAAAATACTAAAGCTAACACCTATTAGTCATTACATAAAACCAACACAAAATATGCTTTTAAGAAAAACATAAGTAGTAAGAGCATCAAAACTAACAATATCAGAGCAATAACATGTGTCATTCATGTTACCATGCCTGCATGGCCTGGTGGTTAGGGAACTCAGCTTGCAATCTGCGAGTCGCGGGTTTGAATCCCATCACCAACATGCTCGACCTTCAGCAGTGGGAGCGTTAAAATATGACGGTCAATTCCACTATTTGTTGGTAGAGAGTAGTTTAAGAGTTGGCAGTGTATCACTTCAAAATTAAGGACTGCTAACGCAGATAGCCCTCGAGTAGCTTTGTGCGAAATTCAACAAACTTCTTATCATGTCAGTTGATGTGTAAAATTCTGGTTAGAAATTACGGAAATCCAAAGACATACACATTTACATTATTTTAAAGAACTGTAAATTATTAAATAGGCCTACGTGGAATTGAACTCCACTTGCTGTAACACACACAACACAAAATTACATACATATGATTCTAAGTTTTATTAAACAAAGATGATACGAAACGTGTTGAGCCTTGGTAACGTACTTCTTATTCGGGAGCATGCACTTTCTCAAAGTAATAAAAGCATTAGTTGAATACTGTTCGATATTTTTGGATACCTTTACACTTATATTCAAACGTGTTTGTTATATATGTTTTCACCCTTTATATAATGCATAAGTATGCATGAATATAAGTAATTTTGATTGTCGTGAGACGCCCCCCAGTGGCACAGCGGTATGTCTGCGGACTTACAACGCTAGAAACCGGGTTTCGATACCCGTGGTGGGCAGAACACAGATAGACCACTGTGTAGTTTTGTGCATAACTACAAACAAACGAACAAACAATTGTCGTGAGTACGAAGTTTGTACGAAATCTTTAACACACACACACATATATATAATAATTAAACAGTTGGTCCGCTGTATAATACCGAATAATGAATTAGACGAAATGCCATAACATTATTCACATACCTAAATTAACTTAGCTTACTATATGGTGAGTTAAAAGAGACTCAAAATTTCATAGAAATTATATACGCTTCACCATTAAAAGAGGCCTAACTGTATTTCTTATACTTTGCTGACCCAAGCGGTGCTGATGAGTCTTGAATAGATGAAACTGCAATCGACAGTAGATGGTATGGCCAATCAGGGAATGCTTGAAACCTCTACGTCACAGATTCTCCTTTCAATTTCCCCTTAGATGTAAAAGAAAAAAAAATATTTAACACACACACACACACACACACACACATATATATAATAATAATTAAATAATTAGTCCGCTGTACAATATCGAATAATTAATTAGGCAAAATGTCATAACATTATTCACATACCTAAAAGTTTATATTGTTTACGGGTTAAAATGACAGAGCGAAGGGTTGTGTTGTTTGCAGTCTCGTACGTAAACACGAAGGTTTATGTTATTTAGAGGCTCTGTATGAAAGTTTCGGTGTTTACGGACTCATATGTGGCAGGGGCATGCTCAAGGGAGCAAACAGGGGCACAGACCCCACATTAATTCTTTGCATACGGACCCAGTAATTTTGTTGAGTGTAATGCTGTTTATTTCTATGCATATGATGTATTGATTTGATTTGTATATATATATAATGTGTGTGTGTGTTTAAATGTGTCCCTCCAAAAGCAGTCAAATTTAAATCATTGCACTACGACCCTAAATGCGAGTACGAGGTTTGGTTGTTTACGGTCTCGTATGTGAGTACAACAGTTTGTGGTATTTACGTAATGTTTTTTATATTTTACTGGTACAAAAAATACATTGTTAGATTTATATTAAATGAAATATGATACAGATTGCTACGCTACTTAAGAAATATGTTACTGTTTACTGTTAGCATTTTCCTTTGCGACTTTATCTGATCATTCCATAAATCAAGTTATTAAAGCATGATTTTTGCATTTTCGCTTTGAAGAGAGAAAGAAAAAGGAAAACACATCAACATCCATTTCATTCATTTCTATCCTTCAATATATATAATGTGCCATCAGTTTCTATGTTTGTACTTGAAAATGTTAGCTACAATGTCTGATTTTCTTTCGTGTTTCCATAAATATAATTACAGCAACAATAAATCATTTGTTGTTTAATGATTTTATACAGCTAAATATTAAACAACACTACATATTTGCACTACATATGTGTCAGCTTTTAGAATACATTTGCCCAAACAATAGTTTTTGTTCTTTCAAATGTGAAAAGGATTAATAGCAACACAGAATTTTCAAGGTTGTATTGATGAATTAGTCCAAGCTGTATGCGTAATATTTTTTGCCACTTTAATGTAAAAATTTCTCAACAACCATTAAATTTAATTTTTGACCATATATTATACAACGTGTATTACACATAACCTACCTTTGAGCCTGTAGCAGATCACTACTCTCAATGAGCATTCTCTCAAATTATTCGAAATCTAATTTCCTGATCTAAGATTTCGTCTCAGAAAACTCCCAATAATGAAAGAAAGAAATGTTTTGCTAGTTAGCTCATGACGCTTACATATAATTTAACACTATTTTCTTTTATATATATAAAAATTTCAGCTGATGCCATATTTCAACGCAATTTGTTTTCTGAAAAAATAAAAATACCCTTGTGCTTATATAAAACCATATGGGGCTGGACTTGTGGTAGAGCTCTGTATTTCATAGCTGGCGATACGAGTTCGAATGCGTGCTGCACAACAAAATATTACCGACACTTTAAGCTGTAGATATCTTATAAGAATGACAGTCAGTTACTTAGCATGGATGGTAGATATTAGGGTGCTGTTGGCTTGCTTCTATCCCAGCCTTAATAACTGTGCCATAATTATGAAAAATACTAACAATCATACATTTTATTCTTTCATTTTACAAAACTCACAGTATATGCCGAATTTAAGCATACTATATGCTTTTCGAACTTGTTAAAGTATTTCTGTTAAGATATTTTAATGTTTAATACTGTACATATTTAATAATTATCATGTAATATATATATGTATGGTTGTCTTCTAAAAAGCCAATAATTTCCTATTAGAAAATTATAAATATTACTGCATGCATGCTTATTTTGTAATTGTTTACGCTAATGTGTAACATTCGGCAGACTTACCATGCAGACCAGTGTTGTTTAAAACTTTACTTGTTTTCCGCTAGATGGGGCAGCAACTATAGTTCTGAATTCGTCTTCTATAGTTCTAGGGAAGGTCTAACGCGACATACGAACCGGATTTGTTAGTTAGGGACCAGTGAGGAGAGAAGGTACGTGGAAGGAGCAATGATTAGTGTGTTTGTTCTGTAAAACGAGAAATTATACTTTAATAAGTGTTGAAGGCAGGGAACATATCCTTCCTCATGTTAGAAAAATCGTTGATTGATCACGTACTTTCAGGTATGAGTGTCACTGAAAATTACATATTATTATTAGCTTATCCAAATTGAGCATCATTAATAATGTTAGTGTTAGGCTTACGTACTACAACACAAGAACATTAGTTTTAGCCTACATTGCGTAGATCAGGTTGACCAGCAAGGCCTACTATGTTCCGGGAAATCGTGTATGAAAACATGGCGAGATACGAATATTTTAAAATACAGGGATAGATCATTTTAATATTATAATTGCGTTCCAGTACTTCGAAGTTTGATCATCTGGATAACCACCTTCCAAAGTTGAGTACTACTTTAGAACGCAAAAGTCGTATTACTATTATCACTATCGGTAGTATTATTATTAGTATTACTATTAGCATGTCCTCGACCAGTTATAAGGACCTACTACAGATCGATGTACTAGTAGGCTTGAGTTCAGTGACAAGTTTCTCCTGAGGATCGACCAAGATATAAAATTAATTTAGAGAGACTTAATATTTAAAATCATTGATTTATCACTGTGGGCCCTATTTTTTTTTTTTTTTATAAATATCTTTCTTTCATTACAAATATGCCAGGCCTCTGTTAGGGCTTTCACTTTTGGAAGAAAACTAATAGAAGTTGTCTGGAGATGTTTTTCATTTCTACAAACAAATCCAATATAACTTGCAAAAGAAAAATGCTGTAAGTGTTGTTTTTCTCATAAGTTACAAGTTAAATAACACTACTGAGTTGATGATGCTTAACAGGTTGTGGATATTTGAGACAGCTGAGAGCAATTTTCTTTGTACAAAAAGTATTTGGAAAAATTTTTGGGAGGAAGAAAAGTACAACTGAGACCTTAAGAAACATGTACATCAGCTCATGAACTTTCAAGTTGGCATTCATAGTAAATCATCCTAAAAGAACCAAGTTTATAATAAAAAATTAAGTCATAAGTGTTACTAACTAATCTTAAAAAGAAGTAGCAACAAAAATTTGTTTTAAATGAAGATCCAAATGGCCGCTGCCTTTCCCAGTACTCGGGGTGAAAATTCATGCCCATCATTCATTTGTACATTATGCTTGACTCGAAGCTTTGAGCCAAAAATTTTGCCATGTTTACATACATTTTGCAAAACTTGTCTTGAGCAGTATAACCAAAATGGTCAAGAATCCTTCTCTGGAAATTTTAAATGTCCATCATGTCAACAGAAAATTTCCCCCACCTCAGAAGATTTGGGATTGGATAGTATGTCATCAAATTTGTTGATCAGTAATATACTGGAAGTAGTTAAGGAAGAACTTGACTGTGAAAATGGCTTTGATGGTCAGCAAATATCTCTGGTTATGTGTAGCTGTTGTGAAGAAGGAAATAAGGCTGTGGGTCGTTGCCGTGATTGCAATGAGCTATTATGTGAGAACTGTGTTCGAGCACATCAGAGAGTTCGACTGACAAAAGAACATTATATTGTAAGATTTGCCAATGATGTGTCACAACATCGAACTCCTCCACCTATTCCACCAATTGGGAGTCGTCCCACTCATTGTTGTGAGATGCATCAACATGAAGTGCTTCGATTGTTCTGTGATACTTGCAATGAGCCATTGTGTAGGGAATGTACCATGAAGGAACACAGAGGTCACAGTTTTATTTACTTGCAAGATGCAGTGCAGAATTCAAAAACTCTTTCTATTAAGTTATTAGCTGATGCAAAAGCAGGATTGAGAGCAGTTGAGGAAAGCATTGAAATAACACAACAAATGGCAGAAAAAGTTGAGATGAGGGCTCAGAATGTTGCTACTGAAGTTCGTGCAACAATACGGAGACATATGAATGCCCTTGAGGAGAGAGAAAGAGATCTGCTTCAGCGTGTTGAAAAGATTCGCCAAGTGAAAGAACGATCATTGCATTTACAGATAGATGACTTAAGAGTAGCATTATCGAAAATGGCTCAGATAGTGGAATTTATTCAGCAGGTGCTTGAATCGGGATCAGATATTGATATTCTGAAAGCTAAGGACAAAGCTCTTACAAAATTACAGGAGTTGAGGTACTATCGAAGCCATTTACAGCCTCATGAAGATGATAATATTCTTTTCACTCCACCAGACAGTGCCCTACTAAGTGCAATTAGTGCCCTTGGTTTCATTAGTAGTAGTGGTTTTGCACCAAACTCTGTTGCCATGGGTGAAGGTTTGAAGCGTGCTCTTCGTGGTCGACTTTCCACCTTTACTGTCCAAGCTAAAGACCATTTTGGTGATACTCGCCTTGTAGGTGGTGACCCAATTCGTGCAATTATTCAGAGTCCTGATGGCGGAATTTATCGAGCTGAAATTGTAGATAATCAAAATGGCTCTTATTTAGTGAGCTATCGGCCACAAACTGAAGGCCACAATGTTATATCTGTAACAATGCGTGGCATGCACATTCAGCAAAGTCCTTTTACTGTTCTGGTGCGATCTGGTAGAAACTACAGTACTATAGGACACATGTTATATACTTTTGGAGGAGATGGGGATGGAGATGGTCACTTATGCCGGCCATGGGGTGTTTGCACTGACAGGGAAGGTCATATTATTGTGGCTGATCGCAGTAACAACCGCATTCAAGTTTTCAACAGTGATGGATCATTTAAACACAAATTTGGATCACCTGGCTCACGTCCTGGGCAGTTTGATCGTCCTGCAGGAATAGCTGCAGACTTCCAAAGTAGGATCATTGTTGCAGATAAAGACAATCATAGGATTCAAGTCTTTGCTTTTAATGGTACGTTCCTATTAAAATTTGGTGAAAAAGGTAGTAAAAATGGTCAGTTCAACTATCCTTGGGATGTGGCAGTTAATTTTGAGGGGCAGATTTTGGTATCCGACACTCGTAATCATCGTATTCAACTATTTCAACCAGATGGGACATTCATTAATAAATATGGATTTGAAGGGGCTCTATGGAAGCATTTTGATTCTCCTCGTGGTGTAGCTTTCAACTCGGAGGGGCATATGGTAGTAACTGATTTTAATAACCACCGCATTCTTGTGATCCATCCGGATTTTCAATCAGCTCGTTTCCTAGGCACAGAAGGATCCAACAATGGACAGTTCTTGCGTCCTCAAGGTGTGGCTGTAGATCCAGAAGGGCACATAATTGTTGCAGATTCTAAGAATCATCGAATCCAGGTTTTCCATCCAAATGGAAATTTTCTTTGCAAATTTGGAACTCTAGGAAATGGACCAGGGCAAATGGATCGTCCTTCTGGTGTGTGCATCTCACCAGATGGCCTAATCATTGTGGTGGACTTTGGAAATAATCGGATCCAGGTATACTAGCTTAAAAATAAGCAACTGAAGGCTTTTTTTTACGTCACAAGTTCATAAAAAAATATTAAATTTTGATAATGCTAAACAGGAAGTTTTTTTTTTATGGATGAATAAGATGTGTTTGAAGTTAAGTATACATAGGTGAAGAAATATTTAAAAGGACAATTTAGAGATAGTTTTTTTGTTCAAGAATTTATCAAGAGTGAAAGTATGTTATTGGTATAAGAATTCTATAAACAATATGTTTATGTAATTACCTGAATCATGAGCAAAACTGAAATGAATTCAAATTTTTAGTAACAGTGTTGAATAATTATCAGTTGAAATTAATTTTTAATTTTGAAGAATTTGATTTTTGCAAATTAGTGTATCATAGTATTTGAGTATTATAAATCTTTGTTTTGGTTTATACAAATACTAAGAAAGTATAATATTGTTTGTAATTGGTAGTTTTATTAGTTTTTAAATCACTGAAGATGCAGTATTATGGTAAGGTTCCAGTCTAAACTGTATGGGGTTTATAACAAAACTTGGCTGAACCATTCACAGCTAAATTTTTTGAATGGAAAAAAAATTGTGGCTAATAGCTAAATTGTTTGACATTACATATGAGCATAACAACAAAAAAAAACTGAAAAGTTTTACTATTTTCAGTTTATTGGCTCAAAAATTAATTTTTTCTTTGCAACATATGCATATGTATTTTGTGTGTGTGCACTATTTCTCACAATGGAATTTTAATACAATATTGTTGTTGTGTATTTCATTATAAAAATAATTGGGGATTTTTCCCTTAAGTTCCTCTTTACCTTTAAAATGTATCCTTTAACACATTTTTTCTGTGGAAAAATGTATGTCGAATGTTTCATCCTCAATCATAAGGTTGAATACTTCATATTCTATATGTGTGAAAACTAAATGTGTATCCTATAAATTTTACCTCGTATCTGATACTGGTTCCTCTCAGGGATTTCTTAAGAATGTATTGTTGATGACTTACAGAGGTTTTCTAGAATGTGGTGTTTCATTTGATATGCAGCTCAAATGGTTATTTTCTTTTTAATATATTTCATAGTAAGCCAATCTTATTGTCAATCATGCCAAATAGAAGAACTTCATTTTACAAAGACTGATATTCAAAACAGAATCATATACTAGTATTAGTACAAAATTTGATTAATTTGTAGTCTTAACAATCTCCTAATTTACAAGTGCAACTCAAGGAATTATAGCATATATTATATCTAAGAAAAATATTGTTTTGTAATATAAATGTCATATTGAAGTGTGGATAAGTCTAGTGTGAGTATGAATGTCTTTGTGAAGACAGTTTTTAGTAGTTCAAGTATTGATTGAGAATAAGAGAAGATATCACATATTTTAATTTCATATCAAGTCATTAGGGCTAATTCAACTTTAATAATTTGTTATAGTAAATTTTCTCAAAAGTTATTTGAAAATTTTGCAGAAATTGTTATTATATATATTTATCATTTTTGGAGAGGCTTTTTGTTGGGATCCAGTAACTGATTATTCGGCATTTTATATTCTTGCATTCACAAATTTCCAGAAAAAGTTGTCAAACTATCCGTTACATAAACAGTAGTAATTCCTTCTATTTTCAGAATACGTCTCTCTTATTATGCATTAAGTTTATATTTTATGTAACTATTTGCCATTTTGTAACTTACTAATGTCCAATTAATTCTGCAGAACATATATGATTTAAGAAAGATTAAAATAGATAAGACATTTATTTGTTTTTCTAAGCCAATTTTTGAATAGTGTAGGAGTATTAATAATAAAATTTTAAAGCTCAGTTCTAAATTGTGATAATATTTGACAGTTTAAAAAGTTTTTTTGATTTAATAATGACAGCTTATTCCTGCAGAAGAATTTGCTTATTTGATATGTATGCCCATTTAGGTACAAATTTAAGAGTTGTGAGCTGTTGTGATACTTAGTTCTTGTCTAACATGAATGTTTTTTTTTGTTGTTTTTTTCAATTTGAATTTTTGACAAGTGGACAAAATTTTGAAAATGGAAATATTCCTATTTGTAGTGACATGCTTGTGCAAGAGAAAATTTGGCCAGTAGAGTCTGTGTAGGCTTTTTTCTTTTATAAGTTGTTTTATGATATTCCCTAAGGATTAATTTACTGAGTAGAAATTTAATCTACTACCTCAATGATGATCCGTACAGGTACTTGAAAAGATGGTGTTCAGTTGAAGCTTCATGGTGTGTGTGTATACATATGGTATGGTACATAAAAGTATATTGATTAACAAAAGGAAATTCAACAAGAGAAACCTGCAGTGTGTCATTTATTATAGTGGATCAAATTGTTCCCCTTTGTTCATTCTTTCTACCTCATTTGGTTTGTATTTAGTAATTTAAAAAGTGATTAGTTTTTATTTTCAGAGTATTGTGATTCAAATTTGTAAAATTCTTATGTTTTAAAGGTCTCTGTTGTTTTTACTTCATATTGATTTAGTATGTATTTCTTTTTTTTTGTATGTGAAGTTTCAGAAATACTGATATATTTGGTAAAAAAGTTTTCCACTTTTGATTTCCTAATATGCAAAAACATTTTTAATAATGGTGTATAGATATGTGTGCATTGAGGGATTATTTATTGGAATTCCACGAGTAAAAAGTAAGTTTCAACTGTCAGTACATATTGCGACCAATTACTTTCCCAATAGCTATAAGTGCATGATAATGCTTAGTCACATAGAAGAAAAGAAATATAATGTGATTAGTATATTTATATATATATATATATATATATGTGTGTGTAACGTAAGCTTCAATGTATTAATAACACAAAACATTAGTGCATATTACTATAAACTGATATAACAAAAATGATTAAAATACTAGTATAAAGGCAGACAAAAAAAATTGAGATATAATAAGGTATTTTGAACAGTTTTTTCTTCTATGAATCTAAACACCTTTAATAACTAGTGATAGTTTTTTCTGCAAGTGTAGTTGGTTTTTGTGTTTGTGAAATAATAGCTTGCTTTGATAGTAATTTAACCCTTTTGCTGTGGCTGGGATGTATATTTCCCAGTGCACTGAGAAATATACGTCCCAGCCACTGTGAAAGGGTTAATAACCAGTAATTGTCAGTTTGCAATTTATTAGTTTTAGTTAATAATGAAAAGTGTTTAGAATTATCAGTGTTATGTGAAGGCTGTTATGGTACAAAAGTTAAAGGCCTTACAGAAAGTGAATTCTTTAGGTAACCTAGCCATCTGTTTTTGTTTTTTTCAAAGAGTATATTGTAATACTTGTAGGAATTTCATGAGTGTGTACTGTCTTGTGTAGCTGCATATGTTACTGTTATAGTGTGTGATGAACAAGTGGAATGCTTCCTGTTGAAAAACAAATATCTGACTCATGTGCCCACATTTTGTTTTCCCCTCTATCAGTCCAAAAAGTTTGTAGTAGTTTAGAATTCTTTTCTCCTCTATTTTTTGTTCTTTCTACATGGTTAACTGGATATAGTTGTATAGAAATATACTTCTAGTTCTTTAAACTAAAATTTTGATATATTGTGTAATCTCCAGAACTTTTCATATTGTAAACAGCATTACTAGTGTGTTTACAAATAATCCAGAAAACTTGTGTGCATATGAAGGCTTAGTTTAGAAATCATTCTGTATGGATAACCTGCAAATTGTACCTTATTATCTATCAATCAAAAAATGGGATTAACTCTTGCATGACCTACTTAAAACTTAACTTGTGGAAGTTTTTGTGGCTCATCTAAATTGAAGTGTTTCCTTTAAAATAACTAATTATTGAAAGCCATATCAGTGTTGTAACAAACTATCATTACAAGCATCTTCAAACATTTACAAGATGAGTAAAAGAAACATTTCCATATTATTTGCCTAGATAGATCAATAGTACACTGATACTGTTAAAATATTTAAAACAGGAAATGGTTTATCATTCACCTAAATTATTAATAACACAGACTTACAGTGTTGACCTCAGACCATAACGGCAGTTGAAATAGTTTTATTATTAGGTTTATTTCTTTCACCTAAATTAGTGATAACATAAACTTAGTATTGACCTCAGACCATAATGGCTTTGTAGTTACAGTGCTTTTTTATAAAATGAGATGAAATGAATTTGAAATTATTATGTTATTTTTGGTGTATTTTGTGATTGTCAGTTATAGTGATATAGTTATAGGTTTGTGAGAAAAACCATGGCATAAATTCTTATAATCATATTATTTTGTAGAAAGAGGTTTTCAGCTTCAAAATTTTCAATGCATTTGAGGGAAAAAAATCTCTTATGGCTGTAATAATTGCTCACATCTCTTATTAAACTGATTCTAACTGTGTCGATTACACTAGGTAACTGATTTACAATTTGATGGTGTATTTACACCATCAGTATAGTTCTTATGTGAAGAACTTAATTTGTGAAAAACTAGAACAAAATGTGTATTTATAACTGTACTGTGGTTCATTGAGCAGGTTTTGAAAATCTAGACTTTATATACCTATAGTCGAAATAAACTAATTTACTCGTGGAAATTTTCATGTACCTGTAGAAGTACAAATTTAGGTTATTTAGTCTAGATGAAAAGTTTCATAACTTGATTACTGTATACAGTGTAGTTGTACTTGCAGTGTAATCATCCCCACTAGCCCAAAAGACTATTTCTTTAACCCTCTTATGAGTAGAGGATGTCATTAATATTCCTTGATTTTTTTTACTTTTCACAGTGGAATTGAAACTATGGGGTAAATAAAATTACTGTAAAAAATATATCAAGATGAAAAGGTACTCTTTGATTATCTGAAGAATATATTTATATGTATGCTTTTCAAACAAATGAATTCAGGTAATTAAAGACTATTGTGTTATGCCCAACCTCAGTGTTTACATAATTTAGCAGAATGAAATGCTAATATGAATCTTGGGTATTAAACTGATGTCATTGATCTGCTATGTCAATGTCTTTTCTAATGTTCCTGAATAAAAAAATATGGGAGAGAGAAAGACATGGTTAGTTGTATATAGTGTCATCATGTCCAAAAAAAGTAGGGCACAAGTATGTTTACTATAA